ACATAATATAGGAAGATAATTCTGCTTATGTAAGATGGCAACAGAAAGGGGGGCAAAGTAGAGGATGAGTAGCAGCATTTAACGAATGCATGCATATATTTGCCAGGAATTACATTAGAAGCTGTGTATGTATTATCTCTAATATGCACAGCAATCTTGCCAGTAATGTAAGAACTGCTTCAAAGATAAATGATAAAGCAGGGAATTCAGACTTGGGTTTCTTTGACTTTGACAGGGAGATTAAAAAATGGAATTAGGAGAAATCCATTGCTCATGGAAGACTTATAGAAAGGAATCTACAGCAATAATTTACACCTTATTTATTAGTCTGATTCTGAAATTAAGTGGAAATTAAGAAGATACATATTTTCTTATTCATTGTTTGTTTATTGCTTACCAAAATAGCTAAAGCAGGTTAGAATAGATTTAATTAAAATTAACATAATTCCAAATACAGAGCCATTTAAAACTATTTCTTTTCTTATTTGATGAAAACAAATAGATGCTTTTTGTAGATTTGATTAATCTGTTATCTCAATTTTGATTCTACTTACAGAATCTCAGAAAGTTGGAAAGATTTCCTCAAGTGGAACTAAAATAAGTATAGGGAAATAAATCAGCCAGGCATGGTGGCTCACACCTGTAATCCCAGCACTTTAGGAGGCCAAGGCAGGAGGATTGGTTGAGGCCAGGAGTATAAGACCCCATCTAGAAAAAAAAGAAAAAAAAAATTAGCCGGGTGTGGTGATATGTGCCTGTAGTTCCAAGTACTTGGGAGGCTGAGGTGAGAGGATCACTGACCCCAGGAGTTGAAGCCTGCAGTGAGCTATGATCACACTATTGCATTCCAACCTGGGTGACAGCAAAACCTGAAAGAGAGAAAGGGGAGGGAGGGAGGAAGGAAAGGAGGGATGGAGAAAAGGAGAGTAGAGGAGAAAGGAGTGGAAAAAGGAAGGAAAGGAAAGAGGGAGGGAGGGAAGGAAGGAGAAGAGAAAGAGAAGAAGAAAGAGGAAGAAGAAGAAGGAGAAGAAGAAAGAAGAAGAAGAGAAAAGAGAAAAAGAAATCTTCCTTCAATGTGACTTGTTCATTCATTTAAACATTTGTTCAAAAATATACTTACTGAGTTCCTACTTTGTGACTAGTGCAAGTTTAGTAGGATTCCTTGCCTTGCCAAGAGAAAAAGAATTATGTTAAGATATGCCCTGTGCCTCCTACTTGTCAAACCTGGGACAATATATGTACAAAATAATTACAGTAATGAATTATGTAACCATTCAGGAAGAAAATTTATGAGTTCATACCAGTGATAGATAAGGGAGAAGTGAAGGGTGTTACTTACAGTAAAATTCCAAGTGCCAATTAGTAAATATAGAGGGGATGCTGGAGTTGGGGGAAAAAAACACATTTTGGACACATCATAGTAAGATTGGATCAGGCAAGAATCATTCATGGATGTTAAACCTAGGGGGAAGTTTTGGTTGGGAGCATGATGTGTGTATGTTTTTTGTTTGTTTGTTTGTTTTTTTGAGGTGGAGTCTTGCTCTGTCGCCCAGGCTGAAGTGCAGTACCGTGATCTCAGCTCACTGCAACCTCTGCCTCACAGGTTCAAACAATTCTCCTGCCTCAGCCTCCCAAGCAGCTGGGATTACAGGCGTGCACCACCACGTCCGGCTAATTTTTTATTTTTAGTCAAGACAGGGTTTCACCATATTGGCCAGACAGGTCTTGAACTCCTGACCTCAGGTGATCCGCCTGCGTCAGCCTCCCAAAGTGCTAGGATTATAGGTGTGAGCCACTGCGCGCGGCCATGTGTGTGGTTTTAAAATGTCTCCCCACAATTACTTATTACTTGTAATTGAAAAATTAGTAATTATTTTGGACAGTACTGGACCAAATAATCCAGTTGGTTGGATGATCAAAATTAACTGATTATCAGTAAGAAGTAGATGGGTATCATGTCCTCCACATGTGATAACCCTGAGAAGAACACGTCATTGCTTATGTGTTATTCCAGCCAAGCATGCATAGTCTGAATCTAATTGTGAGAAAACAAGCAAACCCCAAGTGAAGAACATTCTAATTTTTAAAAAAAGGAAGGCTGGAGGACAACTTTCTTTAAAAATATCACAAAGAGGGATTCTGGAAATGTTTTAGATTAAAAGAGGCTAAAGAGACACTAAATGCAATACCTCACCCTGGCCTGGAAGCTGTATTGGAAGAGGGAAATGCTACAAAGGATGTTAGTGGGTAAATTGACAAAACTGGAATATGGTTGGTAGATTACATAAAAGTGTTGTATCAGTGTTAAATTTATTGAAGTTTATAACTATACTATGGTGTTATATAAGACTATATCCCTATTAGTAAATATTCACTACAATATTAAGAGATGAAAGACCATGATATATGTGATTTTCTCTATATAATGAGGCCGGGCACAGTGGCTCATGCCTGTGGGACACGTTGGGAGGCTGAGGTAGGAGGATCACTTAAACCCAGGAGTTAGAGACAAACCTGGGAAACATAGCAGGACCCCATCCTCACAAAAAATAAAAAAAAATTAACTGCGTATGGTGGCTTGCACCTGTGGTCCTAGCTTTGCAGGAGGCTGAGATGGGAAGATGGCTTGAGCCCAGGAGTTAGAGGTTACAGTGAACTAGGATAGCACCACTTCACTCCAGTCTGGGCAATAGAGCAAGACCCTGTCTCTAAAAGAAAAAAAAAAATTCGGGAAAAAGTGTTAACAGTGAACTTGGGTAAACTCTATTTGATGTTCTTTGATCTATTCTTATTGTTGTAACTTTTGCCAAAACTTGAATTTTTTCCAAATAAAATTAAGAATAATGATTATGTCCTAGGTATGATGTGAGTACAAAAAAGAAGCATGGTGGCCGGGCGCCGTGACTCACGCCTGTAATCCCAGCACTTTGAGAGGCCAAGGCGGGTGGATCACGAGGTCAGGAGATCGAGACCATCCTGGCTAACACAGTGAAACCCCGTCTCTACTAAAAATACAAAAAGATTAGCCAGGTCTGGTGGCAGGCGCCTGTACTCTCAGCTACTCAGGAGGCTGAGGCAGGAGAATGGCGTGAACCTGGGAGGCGGAGCTTGTAGTGAGCTGAGGTTACGCCACTGCACTCCAGCCTGGGCGACAGAGCGAGACTACATCTCAAAAAAAAAAAACAAACAGCAGCAGCAACGTGGTTAAATCAACCAAGGACATAAACTTAGAAAACTGAGATGCAAATAAGTGTTTTACAGCCCTCTCAGACAACCAGTTGATAGGTATTACCATCTGCTAAATGCTAGATGCTTGGCCCAAATATCAAATAATAATGGAGCAATTAACTGTGCTACATTCTACAAATGGTATAAGACTAAGGTTCATTTTTAGCTCTACTAACTTATTGAAAACATGCAGTACAAACTGCTTGTGCTTTAATTTTTGTGTTCTAATGTGTGTAATAGTTCTCACCCCTTTTGTTTATGTTAGCATATTAAATTTTTACCACAAATATATTGGAAATTATGTCCATATGTTACATCTAATACAGGAACTTTAGAATGAGTCATTGATCACAAATTGTAGAAGTACATTTGTATTATGTTAATCAGGTAAGGATGTTTATTGTTTGTAGCATAGGTTGTCTGGATAGGATACAAGCAATCTAACTAAATTATGGTCTTAGTTAATACCATAATTTATAATGGATGCACAAAATGATAATAATCCCATGGAAAAACCTAACTGAAAGCTGAATTAAATTTTATCCTTTTAAAATTAATTTTTTTACCACATGATTGAATTTTTTATTTGAAACTCCAGTGAATTTTGTATTGTTACAAAAACATGAAAATCTTTGATAATGGTCTTAATTAGATAGGAAGATCTATTAATGTTCTAACATGTTATGTTTGAAATTAAAATAAATACAGCTGGGTTCTGCCTTCCACACACTGGAAATAGGCATAGATTTGGAAAGCAGTGCAGTAGCAAATGAGGTCTAATACGATTTCTAATGAATTTGGATAGTAGATCTGGATCTTTGAACTCTTTATTTTGCTATCACTGAGTCCAGCTATGCTTATCCTATGTGGTTTTTTCTATGATGAATTGAAATTTCTTCTCAGGTTTGAAATAATTATAAGGAAAGTAATTTCAATAACTCAATTATGGTCATTAAGAAGAAAGCATCTTAGACCAGTGCTTTATCAGTTGATCATATTTAGATGTACAGAATTTCTATGTGGCTGTCCTTTAAATATTTTCTATTTTTGTTGGCTTTAGTAATTTTAAATGCTTTTTTAGGGAATGAAAAAATATCTGTGATTTTAAAAAATTTACCATCTACTAGTTGAAAGTATCATCATAATACTACACTTTATTCTCCAATCTCCACACCACTATGCTCATCTAAAAGATTCATTTTGTATTGAATTGAAATGTTCTTGTTAAAAACACGGGCAATTTGTATTGGCTTTATCAAAGCCTGTAGAAAACATAATATCCATCAAAACTACTGAAATTGTCATTAAAAAACAGAAATAATCCCAGCCCATACTGGATCTGTATCCTCAAGATGAAAGAAGCTAATATATGGCCTCATTATTCATTATTATAAAGTTTCAGAAAGTGGCAGAGTAGCCTGGATTTCTGATAAAAATATTCTACTAGTCTGAGCTGTCAGTTTAGCGTTACTGCCGAACAAATTCTTGTACAGATTGGAAATTTTAAGGTCTGGCTTCTTGTTCATTTTACAGTTATTTGGAGATTTAACCTAGCTACCATGTTGCATAATTCAAAAAAATAAATCTTTTAATTGATGGACAGTTCAGTTATTTGCTAGACTTCTTTTCAAGATTATGCGAATCCTAGAGATACATGGTTCAAGACACAAATCAAAAGTAAAATATTAAATTTGTTTTATAATTGTTTTTGTAATTGTGCCATGTCTGCTTGCCCATGTTGTAATTTATTATTGACTTCTTTTTAATGATAGACGAAGCCTTAGTACTGTGGAAAAGAGCAGACAGAAATATAAACCAGCTTCTCTCACAGTGGAATTCGTCCCTTTCTTTTATCGTAAGTAACACCTCTAATTTCTCTTGCTATGATTATCATCTTACTCTGATTACTTTTTATTCTTACTCTGATTCTGATCTTGATTCAGCTTTGTTAATTTATAAAATAAAGGTTGTAAGAACTTGTCACTGGAGTAAGGTACATGATTTGTGTTTGGCTGCAATTATTGTACGTGGTTTTATTTAATGTGCTATTCTCAAAAAAATTTTTTTTAGAATAAAAATATTTTAATGATGGTGGTATATTTTATTTTATTTAGTTACTTTTTTATTGAGACGAAGTTGCACGCTGTTGCCCCAGGCTTGAGTACAGTGGCGCGATCTTGGTTCACCGCAGCCTCCACCTCCTGGATTCAAGCAGTTGTCCTGCTTCAGCCTCCCAAAAAGCTGGAATTACAGGCATAGGCCACCACACCCGGCTAATTTTTATATTTTTAGTAGAGACAGGGTTTCACCATGTTGGCCAGGCTGGTCTTGAACTCCTGACCTCAGATAATCCACGCACCTCAGCCTCCCAAAGTGCTGGGATTACAGGCATGAGCCACCATGCCCGACCAATGGTGGTATATTTTAGAACTTCAGAATTTTTACTGAAAATAGGAAACTTAAGAGAGTTAGCCCCTATATATGTGACTTATATATACCATCTTTCAAAAATATAGAATTTGCAGACTATAAAAGGAACACTGTGTGTACCTTGAGTATATATTTCCCATTCAAATTGGTCACTTAACATTTTGCCATATTTGCTTCAGTTCTTTCTTTTCCCTGTGAAATGAAACAGGACAGAAATAGTCCTTTGATTGCTTGCTGAAGATGACTGCAGTACTGACTCTGCTTGACCACCAGTAGTGATACCTAGCTAACTAGGTAATGAAGCTCCACAGTAAACCATCTCTGGAAACTGGCTTCACTTATAGGATAGAGGACAGGAAACCCAGCATGCTAATAGAACAGTATAAGGTGTTTCTATTCATCAGGAGTCCTCACAGCCATCCAAGGGCTATTCTTAAGTCCTCCAAATGAGGTTATAAAATCAAATTGGTGTGTCAGGGAGCCACTTGGCTTAGAAGTAAAGTATCCCATAGAAGCCTTTGTCTCTTGTATATATAGGTTGTGCACATATTTTGTTAATTTATCCAAAAGTATTGTATATTTTGTACGCCTTGTAAATGATTTATCTTATTCATTTTTGGGGAGAGATGCGGTCTCATTCTGTTGCTCAGGCTGAAGTACAGTAGTGCAATCATAGCTCGCTATATAACCTCCAACTTGTGAGCTCAGGTGGTCCTCTCACGTCAGCCTCCCAAATATCTAAGACTATAGGCATGTGCCACTGTGCCTGGCTAATATAAACAATTTTTTTTACGGAGACAAAGTCTCACTGTGTTGCCTAGGCTGTTCTCAGACTCCTGGCCTCAAGTGATCCTCCCACCTCAGCCTCTCAAAGTATTGGGATTACAGGTGAAGCCACCATGCCCAGCCTGATTTGTTTTAAATTGTATTTTTCATTTTTAAAGCTAGTATATAGAAATATAATTTGTTTTTGTGTATTGACTTTTATATCCTTGTTCCCACATGTAGAAGGGAAAAAATTCAGTCTTTCACCATTAAATATGATATTAGCTATATGTTTTTAAAAATAGATGCCCTTTATTAAGTAGAAGAAGTCTTATTCTAACTCTACTTTGCTAATAGTTTTTATTACTGAATGGACGTTGACTTTTTTTTTTTTGTACATACTTTTACTACATCTATTTGAGGTGCTTGTTAATTGGCAAAGTACATAGGTTGATTTTCAAATATTAAACTAACATCATATTTCTGGCCTAAACTACCTTTGGTTGTGATTATATAGTTAATTTTTATTTGTCTCTCTCTCTCTCTCTCTTTTTTTTTTTGGAGAAACAGGGTGTTGCTGTGTTGCCCAGTCTGGAGTGCTATGGTATAATCATAGCTTACTGTAGCCTCAAACCCCTGGGTTCAAATGATTTTCTTGCCTCAGCCTCCTGAGTACCTAGGACCACAGGATTGTACCATGATAAGCAGTGTATTAGTTTGTTCCCACACTGCCATAAAGTAATACCTGAGACTGGGGTAATTTACAAAGGAAAGAGGTTTATTTGGCTCATGGTTCCGCAGGCAATACAGGAAGCATGACAGCCTCTGCTTCTGGGGAGGCCTCAGGAGCTTTTACTCACGGCAGAAGTCGAAGCAGGAGCAGGACCAAGAGTGAGAAAGCCGGGAGGTGCTAACACTTTCAAATGACCAGATCTTTTGAGAACTCTGTCATTAGAAAAGCACCAAAGGGATGCTGCTGAACTATTCATGAAGGATCCGCCCCCGTGATCCAGTCACTTCCCACCAGGCCCCACCTCCAACACTGGAGATTACAGTCAAACATGAGATTTGGGTGGGGGCATAGATCCAAACCATATCAGCTGGCTAATTTAACAAAATGTTTTTGTAGATATTTTTGTAGATATGGCCTTGCTGTGTTGCCTCCAGACTAGTCTTGAACTCCTAACCTCTGGTAATCCTCCTTCCTCAGTCTTCTAAAGTGCTAGGATTATAGTATATTATCCTTTTTATGTACTACTGCATTTGATTGATTTTTTGTTTAAAAATTTTGTATCTCTGTTCAAGAACAGTAAGAGTTTCTAGGATTTTTTCCCTTATATGTCTTCTTAGTCTGCTTTGATTGTCATAACAAAATACTGTAGACTGGGTAGCTTAAATAACAGAAATTTATTTCTCATAGTTCTGGAGACTGGAAGGTCCAGCAGGTTTTATTTTCTGGTGAGATCTGACTTTGTGGCTTGCAGAGAGTCACCTTCTTGCTGTGTCCTCACATGTTGGAAAAAGACTGTTGTCTCTTCCTCTTCTTATAAAGGCACTAGTTCTCTTTGATCAAGGCTCTACTTTTATGACCTCATTTAACTTTAATCACTTATTTAAAGGCTCTATCTGCAATACAGTCACATAGGGGAGGTGTTAGGGCTTCCACATACTAATTTTGGAGGTACACAGTTCACTCTATACCACTCGGTCCTTGCACCCCTGCCCAGTCCATGTACTTATCACATACAGAATACATCCATTTTACCCCAACAGCCCCAAATGTCTTAACTTATTCTCACATCAACTCTGTAAGTCTAAAGTTCAAAATCTTATCTTAATTTCTAAATCTGTTTCCGGTTAGACTGAAGTTACAATTCATCCTGACTCAAAATCCCTTTCCAGCTGTAAACCTGTGAAAAGAAATAAGTTACATGTAACCAGAGTACAACATTGGAACAGGTATAGGATACATATTCCCATTCCAAAAGGGAGACAGTGGAAGGAATAAAGGTGTGACAGGTCTCAGGTGAGCCTAAAACCTAGTAGGGTAAATTCTATTAGGCATTGCAGCTTGAGAATAGCCCTCTTTGGTTGATACTGTGTACTCCATGCACACTGGGTTGCCAGTGTCACCCCCCGCCCCAGATCTCTGCAAGGGCCCCACCCATAGTGCTGTCTGTGAGGGCAGCCCCACCATTGAGGCACTGGGTAGGTCATCCTGGCCCACTGAAACCTGACCTGTGGTCCTACCCTTTGAAACCAAGGAAGAGGAAACAGCCTTGCCTCCTGGGTCTTTGGTGGGAGTGGCAGCCCTCATAATCTCTGAATTGCTTTCAGAGTTTTTCTTATCACACGTTCAAACCGAATAGCTTTATGGTCTGGTCTATAGAATCCAAGAAGTCCAACAGTCTACCTTCATTCCTTCCCACTTTCTCTGTCCCCTTTAGTTCAAAATGGTAGTGCCTTTTCTGGTATAATCCCATATCGATTCCTGGCCTCACTGAGCTGGCTGATTAAGTCCACTAGTTATACCCATGGTCTGTTTATCAGTCACACCCTCAGTGTTTTCTTTAGAACAAGCTTTCTTGTTTGTTTGTTTGTTTTTTGTAATTTGGATAGACTGCAAATTTTCTAAATCTCAACTTCTGGTTCTTTTGTGTTTAACAGTTTCTTCTTCAGTTTATTTCTGTCTTCTCACGTTTTAACTATAAGCAGTGAGAAGGAGAAATTAAGCTGCTCCTTCAACACTTTACTTAGAAATCCCCTTAGCTAAATACCCAATTTCATTGCTTGCTGCACATTCTACCTTCCACAAAACACTAGAACACAGTTCAGCCAAGTTCTTTGCCACTTTTTAATAAGGATCGCCTTTCCAGTAGTTTTTAATAACATGCTCCTTATTTATGTTTGAGAGCTCAACAGAATTGCCCTGAAGGTCCCTATTTCCAGCATGCACCTCAAAACTCTTACAGCCTCCACCCATTACCCAGTTCTAAAGCTGCTTCTGTATTCTTAGGCCTTTGTTGTAGTAGCACTCTATTTCTTTGTAACAAAATCTGTCTTAGTCTACTTGGGCTGGTATAACAAAATACTATTGATTTGGTGGCTCAAACAACAATACTGGTCATATTAAATGAGTTAGGCAGGGTTCTGTTTTCCTCTATTTTCTGTGAGAGTTGGTTTGAGAATGCTATTATGATTTTCTTAACACTCACCAGCGGATCTGGACCTAGAGATTACCTTGTGGAAAGATTTTGTTTTGTTTTTCATTGAGACAGGATCTTGCTATATTGCTCAGGCTCCTCTTGAATTCCTGAGCTCAAGTGATCCTCCCACCTCCGTCTCCTGAGTAGCTGGGACTATGGGCATGTACTGTTGTGCCCAATGTGAAAAGGTTTTAAATTATAGAGCAAATTTATTTACTAGATAAAGGGCTACTCAGATTTTCTATTTCTTCTTGTGTTAGTTTTTGTAATTAATGTCTTCCAAGGAATTTGTATTTTTCATCTGTATTATTGAATTTATTGGCATAAAGTTGTTCATAGTATTTCTTCATGTATCCTTCCTAAATCTATGGAATCTAGATTGATATCTCCTCTTTCATTCCTGACATTGATAATTTACATTTTTCTGTCTTCTTTTTTCTTGATTGGTCTAGCC